GGAAATGAATTTCAGGAGAAGGCTTTCTTTCTCCCTACCCCTTTTTCTTTTTTTTTTCTAACAACAATAGAAAATGAATATAAAAGTAGAAAATTAAAAAAAACTAAAAGAGTCTATGAATGGGTTTCAACAGCAGAGACTCGGGATCTGCTCTTTGGACATTAAAAAGCCCCCTTAAACACATATGTGAATAGTTGTTGTTTGGTGCTGTGGAATCATAGCTGACCCTCCAGCAGGTTTTCGAGGTTATAAATTGCACAAGAAGACATTGACCCCCTTCCTCCTGCAAAGCAGCTGGTGGATTTGAACTGCGTTCCTCTCAGATGGCAGCACAATTTCTTACCGTTAGGTCACCAAAGCTCCCTACATGTGAAATAGGGGAGGAAAGGAGGTGAAGGAATGTTCTGGAAGGGTTGATAAGAGTAAAAGCAGAGGGAGATAGCCCTGGAGATGTTCTAAGAAGAGGGGTGACATTGTAGCGCAAGGAATTCTTTAGTATGGCTCTCTTAGCCATAATTTTTGAAGCTCACATCAAAGGACTCTGTAGAAATAGGCAAATGTGAAGTCTCTGTGGCTGGCAAAGAGCAATGGATGACTTGCTAATAATGCGAAGAAGATACACGGCACCCTTGTGGGATGGCACCACGCAAATAAGGCACATGGGACATGAATGTGGAGACTGGTCAGTGTTACCATCCTGCTAGACTTAAAATGAACTGTCCCAGAAGTAGAAAATGGGGAACCTCACCGCCATCGAGAAAGAAGAGGCAGGAGTCTGAGAACATCTTCTTTGGACCCAAGATCTCCTTGATCCAAGGGACATGTGTAACACTGACAACATGACAAGAAGCAGCAGCAGCTGACGGAGTAGAGGTGGCAGAACCACCAGAAACAGACCATTGTGAGGCCAAATAGTAAGCTGCCCATCTCCTGAAGTGAGAAAGCAAGTAGGAGGCTTGCTTGCAGAGTCAGATCCTAGGGTTTGCTGAACCATCGGAGCCAAAGTCAAGTGCCTTTGGGTCGAGGCTTGCTAGAGAGCTGGATGATTTGGGGTACACAGCTTATGAACAGAGATGAGAAAAAGCTATTGTGATTAAAAGAGCTGTATCCCAAGGCATTCCCGATCCTGAATGGTAACCCGTTAACTTTTCCTAATGAGTCCCCAATTAGGAGGATAGTCTGGGAGTTCTGTGTGACCACTGCAATGATTTCTCGTTCTCAGCAGAGAAGTAGAGGATGCCGTGGTATCTGAATTGGTAAAAATGGTTGGACGGTGGAGATGTGTCTGACCTCACCAGAATCGTGGCAATGAGGCTTCTCTCTCAACCTTAAGGAGGTCAGATGCAGCCCTCCACCATGTGGCTCCTACATCAACATGTTGAGGTGCTGGTCACTCCCATCCTCAAGGGAACTTGCAAGTATGATTGCATAGTCAAGGAGGAAAGACCAGAAAGCCCTGGACACGCGCTGTGTGACACGATCTCTGCTTGTTGATTGTTGTATGTTAATTATTTTCATTGTCATAATAATTTTTGAGGTAGGACTCATTCTCTCTGATTTGTAGGGTGAGAAATGGAGGCACAGTATGATAACGTGAATTCTTGACGACAAAGCTTAGAACGCGGTGGCGCCTGAGAATTTGAGCAGGAGTCTCTAACGCTGTGGCCTCGATTTTTCTATTCTCCTTGGGGACATTCACATGGTTATTGTTGTTAATTGCCACAGAGTCATCATCTTCTGGATAGAAGTTCTGCACTCCACTGTGTCTGTGCAGTTCTGGTTCTGCCCTGTTTTCATGGTTGCACCTATGTTTGAGTCCATTGACCTGGTCATTGTGTCAGTCTATCTCTTCAAGAGCCTTGTTTTCCTTTGCCAATCCTCTGCTTTACAGACCGTGATGCTCTCAGTGTTCTCATGCATTGGTTACATTAATATATCTCAAAGGTGCTCCATATTTTTCCCCCCCACCAATTAGTCCCTGACTGTTGCTTGTCTCTCAGATAAGCTGTGATTCAGTGGGCCGTCACTTGCTCTTCTTGATCTCTGAGTACTCTGTGGTGCTGCTGGCCCCCTGGTCTTTAGACTCTTGTGGCTTCATTCCCTGAAAGCTGAGGGAGGCGTAATGGAGCTCCTGCTCCCCCCTCAAGGGAGGAGTGTCCCCAGAAGGAGTCCCGTGGTCGGGGGGTTCTTCTGGCAAGGGCTTCTGTCTGCAACTCTGAGTGAAAAGGAATAAAAGGGAGTCAGAGCGTGGTCTCTGAGGACAGGCTGAGTTTTCCCCACAGCACAACACCTAGAAATAGCGTTCTCTGGGTGGTTCAAACGGTTAACATGGTTGACTGCTAACCGAAAAGGTGGAGATCCAAGGTCACCCAGAGGCACCTTGGAAAAATGGCTTCACCATCCAACTATCCATCCAACCATCCATCCATCCAACCAACCATCCAACTATCCATCCATTCATCCATCCAACCATCCATCCATCCATCCAACCATCAACTATCCATCCATCCATCCATCTATCCATCCATTCATCCATCCATCCATCCATCCAACCATCAACTATCCATCCATCCATCCATCCATCCATCCATCCATCCATCCAACCATCCATCCATCCAACCATCCATCCATCCATCCATCCATCCA